AAAAAAAAACAAACAAAACAAAAAAATATTTCAGTGAGAATTACGACAAATCATCACCACAAAAGAATTAGCGACTTCCCGCGACGAATTACCACTGAAAGTGAAATCGTCCGACCAGCAGACGTCATCAGCGTTGGAGGTGGCTAATCACGGCTTAGATGATTGATAGCCGGCCGAGAGGTTAATACACTTTGTACAAGTGTTTTACTTTTGTTGTTGGCAAATACATTTGAGCTTGGCTTTTTGTTAGTTTCATTGCTTACTCACGCTGGCTAGCTTAGGCGGAGCTGTAACAAAGCACCTGCATAAATATGTACATTAGGGTGGGCCGAAGTTTCGATTTTTTTTTAGAATTTTTATTGGTAATAGCAAAACTGTGGTTCATTATGCCCTAAAAAAATATTTGTGAATTGGGAAAATTTTCGGTCAATATCTTAAGAACGCCCAAGTCAGTCAAAGTTCAAAGTGTTGAACACACCAACAATAAAAATTAAGAAAATCGTATTTTGAGTCCACCCTAATGTACATTGGTATCAAATTCTTACCGGAAGAGCAAAGCCGCTGCTTCACTAGCAATTGCTGATGATGATGATGTTGATTTTAGTATAATTTTTGTTGACATGCTAAATAAGCAGCATGTGGCGTTTTTCCTTTAATTTTCGGTTGGCTGCGTAATGCTATGTAATAGCGTGCGCTACGCTTCATTCTCACAGAGCAGCTGAGAATTTAATGCATATTTCCAAAATTGGGGTTTTTTGGCTACCAACACCAACAGGTAAAATAGCCAGTAGTTATTTGGCTTTTTTGTATTTTTTTTTTGTAGCTAAAGCTATTGTGCTCTTGATCTTGGCGCTGGACGTTTCCGCCAGCGGCATAGTAGCGGCGCACAGCGTAAAGATGAGTTTTCGTCATCAACTTGTTTTGCGGCGATTCTTCTCAATCTCCCTACCTCAAGGTGCTACTTATTGCAGTCCGGCAGAAGCATTGCGCATGTGTGTGCGCATTCATCTTGTTTTTAAGTATAAAAAGCAATGTGCGTACTTCAATTGCAACTTAGTACAAAACTAGCTGCGTCGAGTAACTCATTTTAAAAAAAACTGGAAGAACAATTTATCCAAAATAAAATGGCTGGACATGTAAGTGGAAAATAACTTGGAACAGCATTATTTATTCTAAACTCAACATTTTCCTATAATTTCCATTAGCTGTTGAAACTCGCCCTCATCTGCACACTTGTTGCTGCTCTACATGCTGCGCCCGCCCCCGCGCCGCTTCCTGCCGCTGCTGGCGCCCAAGCGCGTACCTTCGGCGGCCTGGGCTTGGGTTTGGGTGCTGGCTTTGGTGGGGGCTTTGGTGGTTATGGCGGCCTAGGCGGCCTAGGCGGCGGTTATGGTGGCTATCCTGGCATCTATGGCGGCTATCCAGGTGGTTATGGCGGCGGCGGCGGCTACTATGGCAGACCCGGTTTTGGTGGCGGTTTCTATCCCGGTTATGGCGGTCTGGGCGGATATGGTGGTTATGGCAACTATGGCAGCTCCTTCAGTCAGGCGCAAAGTCAGTCGCAAAGTCACAGTGGCTACTATAATGGTGGTTTCGGGAATGGTTTCTTCGGTTAAGTAGCTATTTTGGGCTAAGTAGTTTTAGTAAAATCTTTTATAAGGAAAACTGTGTGTGAAAATTTGTGCGAAATATACGAGGCTTGTGTGTAAAAAACTAAAATAACTATATATATATAATACACGAAGGGATTTTTTGTCCAGGACAAAAGGTGTGCACCGTTCGCTCGAAAATGAGGTGTCAAGGGTTTACTTTTTTGAAAAAGTTGCCACCTTTCATAAAATTATATTCAAATTATTTAAAAAAATAAATAAATTATTACAAAATGGGTATCAATCGAAATGGTTTTGAAAAGCTTTGTTTCTTAACTTAACTATAGGAGAGCTGTCACCTGTTTAAAAAAGTAATTTAATTAGAATTAAGGGAATTAAGTAAGAAAATATGTACCACTATATGGATGCCAAACGATAGCGGTTTCAGAAGGTTAGTTTGAAAATATTTTGAAGAGGGTTGCCACCTGCTTGAAATATCGAATTTTTCCTTAACTTATACTTAATGAAATATTAAACTACGTCAAACCCAAAAGTGTTAAGGAATAATTAGTTTGAATACTAAGAATACTTTTGAGGTGTTTAAATTCAAATTATTTTAAATGAATTATTAAAATAGTAGAATCAATGGAAATGGGTTTAAAGAGGCTTTGTTTCTGAACTATGTTCAGGGGGTTGCCACATGTTCAGAAAATTAAATTCAATTTAACTCATCAGTTAAACAAAATATGTATCGCAATTTCCGACGAAAAATATTCGAACTGGTTTTAGATCGAAACTACTTTTGAAGAGGGTTGCCACCTTTTTGAAAGTGAAATTAAATTAACTTATGCTCAAGTTATTATGTTATGGATATCAATCATGCTGGGGTTGTAAAGGCTTCATTGAAAAATATTTTTTAGAAGCGTTGCCACGTATTTAAAAAGTTACATTCAAATTAGTTAGTAAGTTAAATAAATTATCATAAGATGGAGACCAATCGAAAGGAGTTCGAATAGGGTTTATTTCTGACATTTATTTAGGAGGGTTGCTACGTGTTTGAATGATCAAATTCAACAAACTTAACCAGATTTTATTTTGTCAATGCAAAGAGATTTATGAAAGCTTTAATTTAGAGATATCTTCCATTAGGCTTGCCACCTTTTCTAAAAGTCATACCGATCTAACTAAGTATATATATTACACGATAAGGCCTTTTTTTATGTTTACACTTTTCTTTCCAATTTCAGGTGTTAGAGGTCAAATTAAAGACGATGTGCGATGAAGTTTTTTTTTTTTACTTAAGATCGTTTTTATCAGTAATTGGATAAATTGAAAACCTGCCCTATGCGGGACCTCTCTTTACTCAGAAACGGCTGCACAGATTTAAATGAAATAAATATTGCACTCGGATCGCGTATAACTTTGACTAACATTTGGAATAGTTTGTAGGTCTTAGAAACTAAATTTTGGGCGTTTTAACGCCGTGCGGGTTCACTAGTTTTTTATAAAGTTCGTATCGAGTGTTGCTAACAGCATCTATCTAGTGATTTCATGAAACTTTCCAAATTTCAAGGCCGAATTTCATGTGTAGAAACACTGTGGGCGAGAACAGCTCAGCCTTCGTACCACCGGTTTAGCCAAACGTTTCTCTACTTCTTCCGTCTTTTTTAAAGGCTTGAGTAAATTGGACAAACTATAAAGTATGAACCCAAGTGTCTAGGCCGCAATCTATCAAAAGCTGGGCAGTCTAAAAAGAGGTGCTGAGATGATTCGACCTCATTGTCCTCCATGCAGCTGCGACAGAAGAGGTCTTGTGTGATATTTAATTTCACTGCGCGAACCCCGATAGGACAGTAACGTGTTAGTACACTCACCAGAATCGAGAGATCCGGCTTTTCGAGCCTAAGATCCCTGGTTCTTCCACGGTCCACGCTCGGCCAGAATATGCTCGCAGTAGCCCATGCAATTGTTTTCCTGCAGCATTCGTTGAGTCGACCTGAGGTCCATCTTTCCAAGAGAAGTCCTCCTCGGAGGTTACCTGCGATGTCACTATGGCTTGACACCTATACAAATCTGACAAGGTAATATTACGACGCGACCGAAAGTCAGCTAAGACATTCCCAAACAAGCTTCGAGTGTACCGTAAGTGAGTCCAGGGCTCTGATTGCTGTCTGGCTATCTGATTGGATGTTAACCTCCCTTACTGCCTCCGCGTAAGTGGAACTACGGGCTGAAAACCCCGGGGTGACCAGTCAAAGGCTGCCAGTCCAAGTCGATTGGAGGCTCAACTGGTAGAACAGTCTACGCCTTTTGAGGTCTTACCAGAGGCTTAAACCTGGTACCACGGGGAACAGAGCCCCCGGAGTGTGTTCGCTGACTAGTGAGACGAATAAGGCGCAAAGAAAAGCTAGATGTGCACATGTAAGATTAGTAAAACTAGTAAGATTTGCAAGGATGGAAGGTGAGCAACTCGAGAAAGTGATGAAAGTCAGAAAACGAGCAAACACTCTAGGTCTTTGCTCCCCAGGCTGAAGTATGGCTCCGAGTAAGATTAGTAAAACATGTGAAATGAGCGTGATGAGCACAATGTATGAAGAGCATGAAGCTGGAAGGGTGCTGGATGAAATTGTCGAAGCTTTCTTACCGGTCGGACGTTGGAGGTAGAGCCTTGGACCTTGCCTTGATTTACCCGGATCAGTACTAGCCGTTGAAAACCGGCTCAGCTTCATTATTGGAAGTCGGTTAGAGGCGCATGTTCATATTTCAACCGTTTTTTAAGCCGACTTTGGTGAATTTTATGGTAGCGTCGGAAGTAAAATGATAATCTCAAAAGTATATTTTATTTATAAAACATATATTTAAGTATTCTTTGTTTAAAAATTGGCAGTACTAAAAAAAATTATAAATATAAAACTTAAATCCAATGAAATTTCATTTTCCATAGCTTAAAGATCTATAGCCAGGATAAACAGGTTGTACATTTCCAGTCAATTGCTGTATGATACCGTTAACCGTCGTTGCTACACCGCCTACAAGTTGGGCTGGTGTTAAGGGAGACTGAAAGAGAAAAAGGAAACAATGTTTATTAAACAGTCAAGCTTTATTTCTTTTTTTTGCAATTAATTTTGTAATAAGCTATAATCTGGTGTGGTCCCTGGATCCTATCGAATAGTAGTACGTATCTTTAGTCACTAGACTACAATGGCTAAATCTATATAGAGAGAAAAATATCCGACTTCTTCCTATAGATGTTTAATCTTTCATGGAGGCATTCTGGCTTTATCGAGAGTTTTCTATAGGGGAAGATCGATGTTGGCAGCCTTTCTTTTTTAATACAAAAGTTAGGCTATGCTAACAAGCATACATTTTAGAACGGCGAGTTTATCGGTACGTAGATTTTCAAAAACGACTCTGGACTAGCCACCTTTGTCAGCGGTAGACACCAGAGCGAGAGAGCACACGTCACGCAGTTTCAGTAGTACTTCGTTATATGCCACTAAGCGAAGACCAATATGGATATTCTAAATGAAAGATTTGAGGCTATACCACGATCGTGCGATTCAACCGCTGCAGACTTTTGATATGGTTAAGTCGCAAGCCTTTGCCAGTAAACCACAACCCAGGCCATTGCTCAATTTCAGTCGGATTTATGCGGCAGAATCATGGAAAATATGGACCACTCGAATCCGTAGCACTGTTGAAAGCAGCGGCGGATATTTAAATGGTATTTTATTGAACACAGAATGGTAAACATGGGCCTCTTCAAAAAAAAAAAACATCTTCCTTAAGACAGGTCGATCAAGTTTGCCAAGAGGGCTGCGATTTGCATCAACGTTGCCCTTGGTTTCCAGAGCTTATCTGTGTAATTTGGTCGCAGTTTTTCTGGTAACGCTACCGGTCGTAATGGTCTCTGCGGAGCAGTAGGTTGCTAGCCTAAGGTAATTCCTAACCAACAGCTTCTCTTATTTCATTTCAACATGGGCGCGCTCTTATTTAAAAACCCTTATAAATACTCCTGCTGTGCCAAACTGGAGGCAGAATTCAACTTACCATGTATATCCAACCTTGAAAAATCTATTCCGCGTAGGGGCTGCGGAGGATTCTAAAAGCATGTTTGAATAATACTAACCACTTTTATCCTTGCCCTATTTAGCAGATCCACTGAGCTCGTTCTCCTATATTGAGGTAAAAGCTTGCGTGTTATCTTACAAGTCTGGACCCCTGATTACTACTACCTTGCTTGTAAAAGTGATTCCTGATTAACGAAAATCCCAAATTCTAAAAAATGAATCATGCTAAATTTGACAGTTCCGTCAAAGCGTCTAGACTTACGAAGCTCTCTAGTCTTTTTTCAGTTTAAGAGAATACCCGCATTAACAAGATATCTGGAGTAATGTTCCTGCAGAAGTTCCTAAAGACAGTTTTTTTATATTGAAGTTGCATCCACTTACCGCTCCCGGTGAATCATAGTAAACCCGATTGGGTCTTCGAACTGGTGGTGGCGGTCTGGCTGCTACTGGACTATAAGCAGGATCTACTTCCGGATCATTAGCCAACTCGTTTGCCTCACCTGCGCCTGTATCAGCTTGTGGTCTATATGGCGGTGGACGTGCCGTTGCCGCTAAAGAATTTTGTAATATACCCGGAGCGAATAATTGAAGAAACGTACTCAACCTGTCGGGTGGCGCATAAGCGTCCGCAATGGGATCAGAGAACAGACCACCGCCACCAAGGCCGCCAAGACCGCCAAGACCACCAAGACCGCCGGCACCACCAAAAGCGCTAGCAAGCCCGCCGCCACCAAATCCACCACAACCGCCACCATATGCGGGCGGTGGATAGCCACCGTAGACGTTATAGACATTGAGGTCCCAAAGGATGCGACCTTGTTCCGCGGGCGGTGGAGTCACTTCGTCACCCTGTGCGTCACGCCCAAATGGCAGACAGCGGCGTAGCTTTTTCTTCTTCTTCAGAAGTAAGAGAGTTTTCGACGACTCCTCATCGGCTTCTTGGTTTCTGGTGCCAGCAAATTTGGCATTTTGTTCATCAGATTCACTGACACGTGGCTTATTTGTGGTTGTTGTGGCATCCTGCTGTTTGACATTATATCTATTGTAATTGTTGCTGGTGTTTTGATCGTTGTTGTTGCTGCTAATGGTAATAGCACTGCTGCCACTGGCGTCATTGCTGTTGGCGCTTATGGCCGCGACGGCTTTGGGCAAACGCGAAGAAGAGTAGAGACGCTGCGCAGTGCTGCTGCCAACGCCACTGTTGCTGGTACTACTGCTGCCTCTGTTGTATATGTCTCTATAGCTGTCAGCGAGTGCGCGCAGGCGTCTTTGTCGCAACGCTTCATAGTATTCGCGGTTGTTATCGCTATAAGATGAGTAACTGGCGCGGCGATAAGGATTTGCGCGAAACGGACTCGTTGAATAGGACGCGGAGGAATAGTAGTTTTGCGGCGCGCAAGCGCACAGTCCATAGACTGTTAGTAGCACTAGTGAGCGCACAAGCGATTTGTTGACAAGCGTAGACATTTTCACTTTCGGCGCTCACGCCATTCGATGCTCTACACTGAAACTTTTTAATAGGTCCTTTTCGAGTATAATTTTAAATCTTTCACTTGCTTATAGAATTTTAGTCCTTTTTACACTTTTGTGTTATCCTTTTTTAATCGATATGGTTTTACACACACTTCGTTATTTTTAGAAAATTTCGTTTTAGCACACGAGCTGTTCGTTTCTCGTTTGCAATTTGCACTAAGCGCCCACCCGCTGCAACAGTCTTACTTATTTAAAAATTTTTTTGCTGCGCATACGCGTAGGGTTTTTCACCAACCGAACCCACACATTTACAATACATTTTGTTATTTATTTTCTAATTGCGTCCGAAAAACACTGACGCTAACCAGCTTGTCGTTCTTGCCTTAGATGGTAGCGCGAAAATTGCAAAATGCCCTTTTTTGCAGCCAAGCCACAATCCAGCGCCATCGACCAAAACATCGCCATCAGCTAAATTTGCAAATTTTTTAATTCAATGTATCTCTTCTTTATGTGGATTGTGATATGCTAATTTCGGCCCGTTTGCTTTTTGGTAAATGTGCGCAGAAGCGCACACCCACGCACTAGTTAGCACGCCATGCCGCTGACGGCTGCTCATCTGCGCATGCATAGCCGCCACAACCTACCTCACTGGGCGCATGCATAGACCATCGTCGGCTCTTGTGGCAATTACCAGCGCTAGTAATGCGCGTTTGTTTTGCCAAAATTTCTGCAGAAAATGGTAATAGACGCATAGTTCTTTTTTTCGCTTCTTTATTTCCCGCCTGTGCATTGACCTGTAACGAATTCGTTTTTTTTTTTGTGTTTACTTTCCGTTTTAGTCACTCTCACTTTTTTTTGGGTAGTCGTTTCAGCTAGTGATGCGCCAACGTTCAAAATTATTTGCTGGCAAGTTGGCGATACATATTTTTTGTTTTTTAAATTTTGCCACCAAAATTAGGTCAAGATCGCTTACATATAAAAACATAATAGCTAAACTCAATGATACCAAAAATTGCTATTTTTTTTACTCATCATTTTTTTACGGTGTGAACTTATGACAGCGTTCGTCATTTAGGTGGACAGCTGGAAGTTAGCGCAAGAGTTTTTCCGCTGGTGCTGGCGTTAATTATGTGCATATCGACTCCTAAGCGCCAAAAAATTGTAAGCGAAATTTTTTTCGAAATTTTATTTATCATGCAGAAATTCTCGTTGAACATCTATGTAGATGCATTTCGCATTAAAAAGAAAATTTGAAAAAAGTTTCACCTACCTCTTTTTGGCGGTTGGGGGGCTCGATTTGCATAGACGCATACATATATAGGCAATTTAGATTAGATTATTCCTAGAGGAGAGTGCAAGTCACT